TTATGTGGCGAGCTAAGAATGAGCTCGATCTCTCACCATCCCCACCAACAATGCAATCCCCCCATCTCACAACACTCGCGTGTTTAGAGGGTTATAATATCGCTCAACCTAGTCAATGTGTCGACTCGAAATGCAACATATACTCCAGAATTTTTACAAAAGACTCTTTTCACATGAACATAATGCTATGCACGAAGATCGGAAGGACTTTTTCAAGCTTGTAACGTAGGCCGGGAATAAGAATGGGTAAGAAATAATTTGAAAAATGTGGGCTATAGTAGTCTAACCGGGGAGCTATCAAATGCAATGAGTCACACCTCGATTCACCATTTTCAATTAACAAAACACAAACCCAACTACATTGAAAAACACCCATTACTTCTTCACATTCCTCTCCAACTTCAAGCTTCTTTTCATTTTTTTTTTCATCAACATTTTTTTCTCTTTTTTTTTTCTTTATTATTTTTTTTCTTTTCTCGAGAACAAAGACACTTTCTTTCATTTGAAGTACAAGATTTTCCTTCTTTGTTTCTTCAATTTAATCTCTTTTTTTTTTCTTAAATTTCAACAAACCTCCATGCTAGTTTTCCTTCTTTTCTCTCTTTTTTTCATATATTTCTCATCAATTGCAACTTGAAATAAAATCACACAAAATACCGCATAATATAGCTCCCCCAAGCTAGACATGGGAAAAGTAACCAAATTGGGGCTAAGGGGTAATTTTTGTGAAGTTCACGAAAAATATAGTCAAGCTACAACATGGGTGAGCAAGGAGGGAACTGATGTTCTAAATTCGTCTGGAGGTCACCTAATGAACATGGCCTTCTTCATTTTCAACGTGCACGTGCAATGCATCACGACACACTACTAAGAGTCTAGAATCAAAACTAAGATCAATGCTACACCAGGAACTAAACACACACATGAATGAATATATAAGGCTCAAGCCTCACGATTAACACAGTCATGCTCCTAAATCATACATGGTTAAATAGCTTTGACTCCTACTAGGGATCAACAAATTCAAGGTCAAATCATGATCTTGTAATCCACAATGCAAGTTTTTCAATCGAAATTAAATCAAAACCTTTTGGCATAAAGGATACGGGCACATGGAAGTAGTTTAATGGCCGTTCATTATCATGATTCTCGTATTTTTTCAATTTTTCAATTTTTCAGATGAAAGCATTAAAATCTTACTACTATTCTAAACACACACAAAAAAAAAATAAAAAATAAAAACGAGAGAGTGAAAGGTATACCTTCTGTACACAAGAACTTCCCCCCAAGCTAAATCAGACAATGTCCTCATTGTCTTAAAAGGAAGCTAGTAGTCAAGGTGACAGCTCCTCATCATCATCACCCAAAATAATGTCACCAAAGTCTCGAGGATTGCAATGCATCTCTTTGGAACAAATTTGAGCAAGAATGAAACAAAGTGTTAGTGGCAAAAAAATAAAAATTGAGTCATGTGCACTATTCTGATCATAACTTTTTATGTATAAAAGATAATTCAGTGATTCAAATTTCATTGGAAATTAGACTTGAAGAGCTTTCCGACGATAGGTCACACGAAAAAATCCGTTAAGTAACGCAAAAGTTATGGCGTTTCGAAGTTGAGCAGTTTTGCTGGTTCTAGCTGCTGTTGTCGCGCCCGATCGGGCAGGGATTGCCCGATCTGACCGGGCGGAGAAGGTTAGATTGATCTTCAATTTTTCGATATTCTTTTCCCAAGACCGACTCTCGCGCCCATCGGGCACCTCTTGCCCAGTTTGACCGGGCAGGTGTGGTCAGGAAATGCTCTCCGTATCCCTTCTCTCTGCTCTTCTCCTATTAAATCAGCCTTCTGAGATCAAAACCTACACAAATAGAAACTCCCACTAGCATAAGATGTACTCTCCTTACCTCTCTAAAAACCAAAGAAAAATGAAAACACACAAAAATTAGAAAAGACTAAAATAAAAACAATAAAATACGGGTTGCCTCCCGCAAAGCGCTAGTTTATCAAGGTCTTAAGCTTGACCATTCTTTTTCCATCGGAAGAATTTAATGCCTTGAGTAACTTATCAAACGCTCCTGCAAACATTTCATTAAACACTATATAGGGCTTAATTGCAAGTACATTAATCCTTACATAGAAAAGATTAGGAGCACACAAAGATAACTCAAGGTAAAAAGAGAAATTTAAATAAAGAGATGAAAATATACCACTACCTCCTACTTCATCCGCTAAACATTTAGAATTAACAGAATTAATATGTAGGTAGTCTTGTTCTTTATCATCACCAAATAACGACTCTATTATTTTACGCTGACGAATAAGTTCATTAACAAAAGAAAAAGAATTTTCGACCATTGGTTCTACAACCAATGACTTTTCAACCAAAGGTTCTACAACTAATGATTCTTCTTCTATTGAAACCAATGATACCTCAACCACTGATTCTATTACCAATGACTCTTTAACCATTGGTTTTTCAACCAATGATTCTTCCTCCAACGTATTATACAAATTATGATAATATTCATCATGAATCCTCCAATAAATTTCATTTGTAACAAACTGTTTTTCAGAATAATCATATATGAATGGAAAGATTCTAAAATCATCTGGAGCTCGAACAAAATACTCACTATAAGGGCAATCAGGATTTTCATGATAAAGATAATAACAAGAACAATGGCCAGATGCAAGACAATAAATCATCCATCTCTAAGGCATGTGTATCTTCATCTCATAAGCAACAAGTTAAAAGCTTAGTAAAAAACGAATCACAAATAACTAAATGAAACCGTTAGTCCCCGGCAACGGCGCCAAAATTTGGTAGGCGGTCGCACACCTAGCAAAATTAACCTAACTATTCCTCCTAATTATGTAGCAGGGTAAGTTAGGGTCGATCCCACAGAGACTATGGTTCACCCAATTTATCTAGACTCAAGTAATTACCAAGCAAGAATCAATCAATGGTAGAATAACTAAGAGCTAAAGTATGGAAAACTAGAATAAATCAAACGAATATAATGAATTAATAAGCTAAAACATCCAAGATCAAGTATCACCAAAATTACGATCGATGCAATTATATATCTACCCCTAACATACAATTCCAATTAACACGGGGAAAAGCAAACCCTAACGTATACCAATGACCTCTCTCGAGTATCAATGGCTTCCCTAACCCACAATCAAGCCTATTCTCATGGTATCATGCAAATTAGAGACATTAAACACTTTACTTCCATTCCCAATTATCCGTTCAACTATTCTCATGTTGAATTTCAAATCCTAAATCAATTTACTCAATTCCGTTAAAATCCAACTCTCGTTATGATAGAAACAATGGAATAATAACAATACTAACTATCTCTAATATAGCATTGGCATAATCACAATCAATTTAGCATAGACAATTACAATGGTTATTAGAGAATTTAAAGAATTAATTCATGCATCAATCATAATTGGGCTACCCTAGATCTTGGAATAAGAAATCTACTCACACATATTGAAAGAAGCAATAACAATAATAATCAAGGAAAACATAATTGAAAACAAAAATAATTGAAAGAGAAAGGAATAGAGATGAATACCAATGATGCTTCAATTGAAATTACTCAAATTGTTAATCAACAATACCCAAATCTAACCTAGGAATTAAATTGCTAAAAAGTATGAAACTAGGGTTATAGAGAGAAAAATAAAACTTAAGGAGATAATAACCTCTCAACTAATGATAATTACAATTGGTATTTATACCCTTAATGAAATAAAAACTCGAAAATAATAAAAACCGGAATCACAATACACTGCCCGGTCAGACCGGGCAATAACACCCTGATCGGGCAGGTGGGATTAAATAAGTAGTTGTTTCTTCCTTGCATTCTTCCTCAGCGCCCAATCCAACCGGGCATATGGCGCCTGATCGGGCGCGAGGCACAACCTTTGATGGCTTGCAATCCTGATCTTCGTAGTACAACCAACCCCCACGCGCCCGGTCCAACCGGGCGAGGCCTGCCTGATCGGGCGAGTGGCATGATACCATAAAATCGCTTCTTTACTTCCTGAATAACTTTAACCAGGAATTTCTACTGTGCCCGGTTTGACCAGGCATGCTTATCCCGATCGGGCACAGTACAAAGTATGCTCATTGCTTGCAAATTCTTTTAAGACTGGTTCTTGTTTAGCTCGGTTTTACATCCTTGTCCACCAAAATCTCCAAAATGCTCAAAACATGTCCGAATCATCCGAGAAACTTCAAGTTCCTTCAAAACTTATAAAAATACACCGAACACACTAGAGAAGAGAATGTTAGCGGAAAATGGCTCTAAAGAGCCTAAAACCATACAAGAATGTAATGAAAAGTCGGGATAAATCTATGTATAAAACGTGTATATCAGAGTACCAAAGCCAATGGAGGAAGAAGCTGCTGATAGCTATATAGAGTCACCTTTCTCAGAAGAGATCGCTATGAAGGTTCACCACCCCAAATATAGCCATGTACGACGGCACTACAGATACTAATGAGCACGTGTCCCTCTATAAGCAAAAAAAGTTGACCAGAAATGTCAAGAAGGATGGAAAAATGGATGGTCCACCTAAGTAAGTACGAAATCAGGTTTGACATCAGAATAGCAGTCAAGTCTCAAGCCTTAGCAGACTTTATAGCGGACTTCAGCCCTACCCTAGTGTAAGATCGAGGCACAAAAAGAAGTGATATCTCTACAAGAACCAAAAGCCATGCAAAAGTGAAAACTCCAACATATGGTGCAGCAAATATACGAGGACAAGGCTGGGGAATAGTGCTGACATCCCCTCAAGGAGATAAGATTCCTCAAGTAGTAAGATGCAACTTCAAAGCGACCAACAACGAGGTAGAGTACGAAGCACAAGTTACTAGACTGACTATCGCCAGAGACATAAAAATAAAATACTAAGAGGTAATCTTTGATTCCATTCTCATTGTCAATTTAATGGCGAATATGAAGCAAAAGACACCAAGATGGTAGCAAATCTAGATTTGGCAAAGGAAGTCATAAAGGAGTTTGAAGAGTTCAAAATTGCACAAGTCTCCAGGAGTCTTAACACCGAAGTAGACTATCTTGCCAATCTCGGATCCAACATCAACGCAGATGAATTCAGAGCAATACCACTAGTACACATCATGTCTCCAGCAATTGAGAAAGAGTCTACAATGAATATTTACGAGATACAAACAAATCTAACTAAAGAAGAAGACAACTGGACCAAACCATTCAAAGAGTTCTTCGCAGACAACATAACACCAAAAGGGAAAGTGGCTACACACGCATTTGCCATGAAGGCATCTAAGTATTGCCTCATCAGCAACTTACTATTCAAGGAGTCAACAGCAGGCCCATACTTAAGATGTCTAGAGAAAAATGAAGTACAACAGGTGCTACAGTCCCTACACAATGAGGAATGCGGAAATCACTCAAGAGAAAGAAACCTAGCCAACTTAGCATTTAGGATGGGATACTTCTAGCCCAGTATGAGGAAAGACGCAGCTGAGTTCATAAAGAAATGCTTAGCATGTTAAAAGCATGCACCCCTAACCCATTAAGCATTAGAAGAGCTACACCTGACGTTAACCCCATAGCCATTCATGAAGTAGGGAGTGGATATAGTCAAGCTACCATCCTTATCAGGATGCAACGAAAAAATATTCCTTTAAATGGACCGAAGCCAAAGCGTACAAGGACATCGCGGATAAGCATGTCATATCATTCATTAAGAGGAACATCTTATGTAGATTTGGAGTACCTTCAGAAGTCATTTTTGATAATGGATCCCAATTCATCAGCAAGAAAACAACAAAGTTCTACAAGGAATGGAACATATCATTCATTACATCCATACCAAGGTATCCCCAAGCAAAGAGACTAGTAGTGTCAAGAAACAAGGTGATCATCAATAACATGAAGAAAAGATTTGAAGGTGCCAAAGGGAAATAAGCTGACGAATTTCCATCAATAATGTGAGCAGACAAGACAACACCAAAAAATGCAACAAGACAAACACCATCTTCGTTAGTATATAGCTGCGAGGCAGTGATCCCTACTGAAGTTGAAGTCGCAACTGCGAGATATGGGCTAATGACTAAAGAAAGAAATCACTCGGAATTGGCATACAATTTAGACACCGTCGAAGAAATCAGAGATAATGCTAAACTCGAAATGGCAACCTACCAACAATACGTCGCGAGGAGTTTTAACAAAAATGTGAAAGCAAAAGCTTTTAAAATAGGAGACTAGGTTCTCAGAAAGGTGTACAAGAACACTAGGGAAGTAAATGCGGGAAAATCGGCTCCCAACTAGGAAGGATCATATCAAATAATAAAGGTAGTGGGCAATGGGGCCTCCAGACTAAGCAACATGGAAGGAAAAGAAGTTCAACAAAGTTGGTACGCAACACACCTAAAGCTATACCACTTCTAAGGTATGTAAAAATTTAGTAGAGCCCCTTCAGTAAAGATCTCCAAAAAGGTACAACTTCTTTCCTACACTTAGTCTTTGATTTTTCTTATTGAACTACGAGTACTCACTTAAGCATCGGAAGATTGTAGGGAAAACCCACGCCACCCCAGAACATAACCTGTTTTGCAAGGATACACAAGAAACGCAGAAAGGCAACAAAACAATCAAGCAGTCTGATGAGTCTATTTTTGTGCTTATTTGACCTCTGCAGAGCTATTTTTATTACTAATATACGTTTTCTAGTGTTTTTGTAGAGTTGGTACTATTTTGTAGAAATTTACAGAATTTGATAATTCTCGAGCTTATTAAGCCTCTACAAAGACATTGGAGTTTGACCATATTTTATTACCAAATATTTGAAGCACAAGGTCGAGCTAATTAAATTTGGTTCGGTGATTCGGTGTTCGATTCGTTTGGAATACTAATTTTATTACAAGTCTAAGATATATTAAGAAGAAGGAAAATACAGACCAAGTAAAAAGGCCAAATACCATATCTGCTAGGCGTGGAATCAACAGGCCCGATCGGGCGGCCTAATTCCCGATCGATGACCATGCGTGATATTGCTGCCTCATTTTTTGGAGTTTTTATTATTATTGGACTTTGTTATAAAACTATAAAAGCCCACTAGTGTGGACGTAGTACGCGGCTTTAGGTAGGGGTTAGAAGTTGATTGGGAGTAAAAAAGTGTAAAACTTCATTTTCCATTTTTGTTTAAGGAGGTAGCTTTTTACGTAGTAGTATTAGCTTAGTTTTAGTTTAGTTTTAGTTTTGTTCTTTTTATTAGTTTTGTTTTACTTTAGTTTTTATATATTGTTTTTACAGAAGTTTTATTATTGCTTTTTATTTTAGTATTTGCTTTAATATTAGCTTTTTATATTGATTTAATCATGCTTTCTTTAATTTCTTTGATTTTTTAGATTTAATTATGTGTCAGTAGTGTTATTCTAGGGTTGTGGGGATTCATGAATAATATGAAGGGATGATTTATTATTGTTGATTGTTAATGTTGTGGGTTAATTTCCTATTGATTGTTATAATGCTATGCAATTAGATTAGCGCAGGTTTAACTGTACGAGTTACGCAATATTGATTCGAGATTCGATAGATGAGAGTTGATATTATGGCTTAGTTTCAATAGGCTGATTAATTTATAAATGGTTAAGTCAAGATTCGAGAGATGCAATTTAATATCGCTAGGTTAATTGTGTGATTATAACGTAGCGAAAACCCTTTATAATCTAGTTAATTTAAGCATTGATAATTGATTGTTGTCTTTCATCCCGAAATATTATTTATTGGTGAAGCTATGCCCTAGGATTTATTTTATTAATATTCTCTTCATTTTATTTTTTTAGTTTAATTGGATTCCTTAGATTAATTCACTAAAAATCATACTTGTTACTTGATAATTAAGATAATAATAATTTATTAAAAATAAAAGAACATTGTTTCCATGTGGATTCGACCCTACTTCCCTATCTATTTTAGTTAGTGATTTTAGGAATTACTTTGATTAGGTGATACAACTAGATCCTGTCAAAATTTGGCGTCGTTGTTTGGGAAACGGTTTTATTTTTATTTCTAGTTGTTATTAGTGTCTAGATTATAATTATTTTTTTCCCCTTCTTTTTCTTATGAGTTGAAAATATACATGCCTTCGAGATGGATGATTTTTTTTTTCACATCTTGCAGCACCTGAAATTTGTTCCTGTCGTAGTAAACTTTATCATGAAAATCATAATTGCCCTTATAGTGTTTCTTTTGTGCGTGCTCCGGATGATTTTAGAATCTTTCCGTTTATATATGATGATTTTCATAGACAGTGGGTTTTAAATTATATATATTGGAAGATTCATGATGAATATTATCATTATTTGCATCATACGCTGGAGGAAGATTCATTGGTTGAAGAACCGATGGTTGAAGAATCATCACTTACGGAATTGGTTGTTGAAAAATCATCCGTTATAGAATCTGTAGAGGAAGGGTCATTAGTTGTAGAACCTATAATTGAAAAGTCATTGGTTGTATAACCGGTGGTTCAAACTTCTTTTTCATTTGACGATATGCTTATTCGTGAGCGTAAAATAATAGAGTCATTATTGGGTGATTATAAAGGAAAAGACTACTTCCATGTTCATTCTATTAATTCTAAATTTTTAGCAGAGGAAGTAGAAGGTTGTGAAATATTTTCTTCTCTTTCTTTTGATTTTTCCTTTTACCTTGAGTTTTTTTTATATGCTCCTAATCTTTTCTTTGTAGGGATTAATGTGCATGTATTTAAGCCCTATCTAGTGCTTAATGAAATGTTTGAAGGAGCGTTTGATAAGTTAATCAAGGCGTTAAATTCTTCCGATTGAGGAGGGATGGTGTACAGTCGTCCGGGACCTTGATAAACCTGCGTTTTGCGAGACGCAACCTGTATCTTATTTATTTTATTACCTTTTTTTTTTTAGTGTTACTAAAAGAGGTGATGAGAGTTTATCTTATGTTTGTGGGAGTTTGTTTTTTGTAGGTTTTGATCAAGATGGCTAAAAAGAAGAAGAAGAACGAGTACAAAAGATATTTGGGGCAGAGAGTAGCAGTAGTCAGCCTGGTCGAATTAGGAGCACGGGCCCGATCGGGCTGAGCTCGCCCGGTCGGGCGCGGGTACGCGTCAGCTAAATTCGTCAACTTCGATAGGCCATAACTTTTGCGTTGCTTATCTGATTTTTGCGTGTAACCTATCGTTGAAATGCTATTCAAGTCTACTTTCTAACCCAATTTGAATCACTACATTATCATTTATATATTAAAATTTACAATCAAAAGAGTGCACTTGACTCAATTTTGATCTTTTTCCCACTAACACTTGGTTTCATTCTTGCCCAATTTTATTCCAAAGAGATGCATTGCAATCCTCGAGGCTTTAGTGACCAAAATGTGGTGATGATGTGGAGTAGTCACTTTGATTACTAGCTTCTCTTTAAGACAATGAGGACATTGTCTGATTTAGCTTGGGGGGAGGTTCTTGTGTATGCATGGTATATCTTTCACCCTCTCTCTTTTTATTTTTTTTTTTCTTTTGGTGTGTTTAGACTAGGTTTTTTTTTATTGCTTTCTAGGTTAGTTTTTTATTGCCTTAAAAAAATAAAAAAAAATCCAAAAATACGTTCCAATGAATTATGAATCATACTTCCCTGTGCCCCTCGATGATCTTTTTTTCGAAATTGTTTTGATTCTTGGTTATTGATGATAAATATTGTGGATTAGTTGATCATGATTTGATGTTTTATTGCCTTGAAACCTTAACATGCGTCAATTTTTCCCAACTACTTGTGAATATCGTGCTTGACTAGTTAATTTAGTGAGGAATGTGCGTTAGTTCCTGGTATGTCATTAAAGTTGAGTATTGGTTTTTAACTTTGAGTAATGTTTGTATGACTCATTATTATGCACATTGAGGAGGACGAAGGCATTTGTTCTTTTAGGTGGCCTTCAGATGATATTAGATACATTTGTTCCCTTGCTACCCATGTTGTTGCTTGTGTCCTTTTATTGTTTATTTAGCCACATTACAAGCCTAATTTTATCCCATTGGTTACTAGTCTCAAGCTTGGCTTGGGGGAGCTAATATTGAGTGAGGTGAGGGAGTTGTAGTGTGCACATAATTTGCACAATTTGGGTGGATTTGAGAAGTTAATTGTTTTTCTTATTTTATGGATTGGAAAGAATTGAAAAAGGTGTTCAAAAGTTGAAATTTTTCCAATGTGAGTTAAAAATAAAAAGAAAAAAAAAAGCAAAAGAAAAATAAATTGTCAATGTGCAAGTATATTAAATGAAGGTTGCTCAAAAGAAAAGAAAAAAAAAATGAAAAGAAAAAAAAGAGAAGAAAAAAAATCAAGTTTAAAAGAAAAAAATTCAAAGTTTGTTTGGTTCACTTTAATTCTACATTGTTATATCTATATGAGTGAAGCTGTAAGTGTGGAAAATTTGTGAATTATTGGATTGGTTGTTTGGTGAATTT